GTGGTGAGAATCTTTGTCTTCTTGACATTGAGCCTCAATCCATATTCAAGGCTGCAGTCCTTGACTCTCTGCAGCAAGTGCATCAGGTCCTCCTCAGTTTCAGCAAGCAGGGTTGTGTCATCTGCATAACACAGATTGTTAATAGATCTTCCATCAATCTTTACAGCACACTTCTCATAGAGCCCAACCTCTCAGATAATCTGTTCTGCATACAGGCTGAAAGGGTACGAAGATCCCTGGCGTACACCTTTCTCAATTTTGAACCATGCAGTGTTTCCCTGCTCTGTTCTGACGAGTGCCTCTTGGTCCAAGTGTAGGTTTCACATTAGCACGATCAAGTGTTCTGGGATTCCCATTCTTCTCAGAATCAGCCACAGTTTGTTATGATCCACACAGTCAAATGCCTTTGCATAACCAGTGAAACACAGATAGACATTCTTCTGGTATTCCCTGCTTTTAGCTAAGATCCATCTAACATCAGCTACAATATTCATAGTACCACAACCCCTTCTAAACCCAGCCTGGACTTCTGGCAGTTCTCTGCTGATGTGCTGTTCCAGTCTTTTTTGAATAATTTTCAGTAGAATCTTCCTTGCATATGAAATCAATGCTGTTGTTCTATAGTTTCCACACTCTGTTGGGTTACCCTTCTTTGGAATGGAAACAAATATAGCTCTCTTGCAGTCAGTTGGCCAAGTGGTTGTTCTCCAGAGTTCTTGGCACACCTTGGTGAGCACAACCAGGACAGCATCGGTTAGCTGAAATACGTCAGTTGGTATATTGTCTATTCCTGGGACCTTGTTTTTTGCTATTTCTTCAAATCAGCTTGAACTTCTTTCTTCATCACCATAGACTCTTGCTCATATGTTGTTTCATGAAATTCTTTTGTGTCTGCCAATTCCTTTTGATACAGTGATTCAGCATATTCTTTCCATCTTCTTTTAATACTTTCTGGATCATTTAATATTCTTCCTAAAGCATCCTTGATTATGGCAACTCGAGGTTTGAATTTGTTCTTCTGTTCCTTTAGCTTAAGAAATGCTGAACGATTTCGGTCCTTTTGATTTTCCGGCTCTAACTCCTTGCACATTTCATTGTAATATTTTGCTTTGTCATCCCGTGTTGCCTTTTGGGATCTTCTGTTCAGCTCTTTAGTATCTTGAATTCTTCCTTGTGCTTTAGCTTCTCTGCACTCCAGTGCTATCTTCAGAGTTTCTTCAGACAACCATTTTGGTCTTTTCTTCCTCTTCTGTCTTTGTAATGACCGTTTGCACTCTTCCTGGGTGATACATTTGACATCCTCCCACAA